GACAGCTCACAGCTCTGCAGTGGCACTCAGAGAATGGACAGTTCATAGGTAGGCAGTGGCACTCAGCGTGGACAGCTCACAGCTCTGCAGTGGCATTCACCGTGGACAGCTCACAGCTAGGCAGTGGCACTCAGAACGTGGAAAGCTCACAGCTCTGCAGTGGCACTCAGAGCGTGGACAGCTCACAGCTAGGCAGTGGCACTCAGAGCTTTTAGTCTGTGCCTCGATACAGCCAGCTCCCTAAACACTTTTCCTTGTTTTGTCCCAAGATCCAGTGACTCAACACTGGAATCACTCTAATATCAATGGTAAAACCATGCAAGCATGAACAGGAGGCCAGGAATCCCAGATTTCACTCAAAGCAGCAAAATCGAGTTCTGTGGCACAAAGGACCTTTAGTCTCCCAGATGGGACCATCTGAGTTATATATTATTTCAAACGAGTAGTTGTTTGTTATCAGATGTACAGACACGTGAATGTATGAAGGCTTAAAATGCCTCTTGAGTCCTCCCTGCTCTGTTCTTACAGGTGCAAGCATGTCCAACCCGATGCCCAGGATAACTATGGATGAGGCCCAACGTGGAACTCTGAACATACATACTTAAAACGTGAGGTCTCTCTGTGTGATTTGTATTGTGTAGCTTGATTGTGCAGATCTCAAGCACAGACTGTAGATGACAACGTCATGTTGTGATACCTAAAGGTTTGGCTGCATGGCAGATGATTCCGAATCATTAGAAAGGCAATAACTTGCCCTCCAGGCTTATGGTAGCCTGAAGATGGCCTCCATGGAGGCACCCTCCAAGCAGCTCATCCTCATCTCCAATATCATGATGGCAGAAACAAGCTTCAGGAGTTCACACACTCCATTCCTGAAGTGCTTCATCATCACAGACTTACACGCAGGCTAAACACTGTTTTATAGATCTAGGACACGGGATCTCTGTGTTGCTCAGGCTGGCCTGGGATTCCTGAACTCAAGTGTCCTTTTGTCTCTGTTTCCTGAGTAGCTGGGTCATAGCTGCAGATGGGCTTGAAGAGAAGTTTGCAAAAGACCAGTGTCACCATGCATGCTGTTCTGGGTTGGTCTTACTGAGGGTGAATGTCCCACCTTAGTCACAGTTCATGCTTACCTGTCCTGCCCCTGACATTGAAGGACATCCCACACCCAAGAATCCTTATAGCTTCCACGCTGGCTTCCACCATCTTCATCCTGAAGAGTTCCAGACACCACAGTACGATGGGACCCAAAAGCACAGTCCAATGTCTACTGGAACCTATCTCTAAATGAGTTCTTTCCTGGGAGTCCTCTCAGGCCTCCAGACCACCAGACTCTGGGCTCAAGCAGCTATGCATTTCAGAGATAGCCCAAACCTTCCACACACACACACACACACACACACACACACACACACACACACACACACACACACACACTTGTAGGGAGTAAAAATCCTCTGCTCTGGGTATTTGATGAAGAAAGTCAAGGAAACTGTCATGGGCAGGAGGCTGCCAAAGATGGGAAGAGCAGATAGAACCATTCAGGGCAGGAGCAGAGGTATTTCAGAACGTTGAGACGTCCGAACAGGAAGGCTCTGAGCTGGTGGATCTGTCAGCGTGACCCAAGCAGCAGACAGCCCCACGTCCTCAGTGGCCACAAGGGCAAATGTGTGCTGAGGGGCTCCTGCCATGTTTCTCACGTCTTCCCATACAGAATCCAAACTAACAAAGCAACATGTCCTGGAAGACAGCGAGAGAGCGCACTCCCATAATGTTCCTCGGTAGAACTTCAGCATGCCCACGGTTTCCGTCCCACATGCTCATGTGAGGTGCAGTCTGCTTCACAGCCAAGCAGGTCAATGGGGCAGGCGTGTATCATTCTTTAACAGGGAATTAGGGGTATGTATAGTCACGATACCAACCCTAGTGCCTACAGGTAGGGCGCCCCAACGTTGTGATATACCTGGGGAAATTGAACAGAGCGTGGTGCCGTGGCTTGCCTGAGGGCCACATGAAGTAGCAGAAGAAGTGTCTGCACCATATTCCTATCAGTCTTGGTTCTCGGTCCTGATCCTGAGCTCCCCAAGATACCTGCCAATGTACCTTCTGAAATGTCTTCCCAGGTGCTAACAGCTGGGTGGGCAGGGCACTTTTATACACGTCAGCGATTTGATGATGCTGCTGGAGTGTGAAGACTCTCCAACTCAGGGAAGAAGACTCAATGTCTCCCCCCTCCTTTTTTTTTTCAGTCTAAACACCAAAGACCCTGCTGGAGGGGCAGCTCCTGGGACCCTCAGGAACACGCTTTGGGAAACAGCAGCGTCGCGTCACCAGTCAAATGGACTCTAATTGGCCCTGGAGGTATGAAACTCGAGTTTGATGTTGCTGTGAGGAATGTTTTAAAATAACACAGGCTGCCTATAAATTCTTCCCAGCTTAGACAGGGACACAGCTTTCCCTTTTAGGACAGTCACATGACTGTGTAGGACCATCATTAATTTTGACTATTTTTTCCACTTTTATTTCTTTTCAATTTTAGCCAAAAATGCAATAAATGTCTTGGAACAGATCTTCTTTAAAGCCATTGGTGGATGAATCATGGGTATCTGGAAAATGTTTGGTTTTTTTCTTTCTTTCTAGTGCAATGGTCTTTTTCTTTTTAATAAGAAACAACAAATACTACAGCTCCTGCCTCAACAATAAAAATGTCTTACAAAGCAAAAGCCTGCGCCTCAATGTGTCACGGCTGCATGTCCCTTCACTCCAGCGCATCAGAAGGAGCCTAGGATGGCCTCTGGATCTGTCCTGGAAAAGACTTCAGTAATCAGACCGTCTCAGGCCACTGGGGTATTTTTTTCCACAATGATTCCTTTTATTTGTAACATATGCGAAATTAAAATAAACTTTATATGACTTTTTTATTTCCACAAGCCCTTTAAAAAGTGAGACCCCAGTCAAATGGCTCAAAATAAAACTGAACTACACTCCAGTCTCCCTTTATCAGAATTCTCTGACCAGATGGAAGGGAGATTTAAAAAAAAACAAAACTGGGTCCGGGAAGGCTGTTCCCTCCCGTCTCCTGGGTAGGTGGCTCTACACACCTAAGAACCAGGTTGAGAAGAGGCCAAGGGACATTTACCCAGTCTCCCAGAGCCTCAGCCCTACCGTGGTGCCCCTCGGGTCACAGAGGAGGCCCCGTGGGCAGAATCTGTGACAGGAAGGGAGAGCAGATAGAGTTCTGCAGAGCTTCTCTTTGTGTGTGAGCAAAATGGATTTCTGGGCTAGGATGTACTGAGGTAGAGCATCTGACTAGAATGAGCCAGGTGTTGACATCCTCTTCCGGCAGGGGGAAATACAGGAGGGAGGGAGGGAGGGAGGGAGGGAGGGAGGGAGGGAGAAAGACATAAGAGAGAGCAGGAGGGAAGGATAGGGGATGCAGCTCGGTTGTGGTGGAGCGCTTGCCTAGAGTGTATGAAGCCCTGGGTTTAATCCCTAATACTTTATAATCCAGATGTGGTGGTAAACACCTGTAACACCAGGACTCAGAGAGGCAGGAAGGTCAGAAGTTCAAGGTTGTCCTTAGCTACATAACAAGTTTAAGTCCAGCCTGGGCTACATGAGACCCTGCTTCAGAGAGGGAAGTAGGGTAGCTCTAGTGCCCACCTCTTGGACAGGGAGAAATAGTGTAACTCTTCTGTTCTGTCAAGTAGTTTGGGTCTGCCATCTTCTTCCCAAGTGTTCTGAGGGTTGTGCATCCTGCAGACCCCAGTGGTTCTGGCGTGAAGGCTCCTGGCCCCTTCAGTGGCTGTCGGGAATAAAGACTGCTTCTACTCCAGAACTTGGGGCATGTAGGGGACAGATGACATCAGAACCTCGCTGGGGATGGAAGATCTTGTCTCCTTCCTTGCTTTGATGTATCTCTGTATCCCCAAACTACTGTGGACCGACTGTGACACCACTGGTCTCTGTGCCTCTGGGGCATTTCCTCTTGTGGAAAAAGCATTTCATATGTCTCAATATTCAGTTAGCTACTAGCATGTAGACATGTCCCAAGTAATATCCAAATACACTTTATATGGCTAAAAAAATAGCATATTGAGAAATAAATGTCTGTCACTGACAATTTTGGCCTATTTGTCCCAGCAGGGGTGCTGACTAATACATCAGCTAAGATCTCTTTTAGAAATAAGTGTATTTGAATACCAGACACACACACACACACACACACAAGCATTTGGACCACATGCATACATTTGCATGTGATTTTTATTACCATTTCAGGACAACAGTGCAGTGTTTGATACTCTTCTTAGTAACATACATTAAATACAAAATGATTAGATTAAAAGCATATTTCAGGTCAGCAGCGAAGAGCACTGTCTGCTCTTCCAGAGGACCTGGGTTTGACTCCCAGCACCCACATGACATCTCACAGCCATCTGTGACTCCAGTCCCCAGGAATCCAACACTCTCCTTCAGCCTTCATAGTCACTGCATACATGCGGTGCATAATATGGAGACACGCAAAACACCCACATATGCAAAATGACCGAAGTCCATATTATAAACCTTTTAGCCTTGTTATTTCATCGGTTGGCAAGCATCTCCCACCGCTCCAGGGGTTTCTTCTGCAAAGCTGTGCTCTCTTTCCCAGCCCTGCCCACCCAATCCTGCTTCTATGGCGAGTCCAGAGAAAGGGGAAAAACAGAACAGGGAGAGGATTCGGCCAGGCCTCCTCTCTGAGGCCAACCAGAGAAACGGCTCGGGTCTGCTTGTTCTGGGAACAGTGGGACCTGGTGTTCCCGCACACCACACCGCATAGCCCGGGGAGGACAGACTCCCCAGCTGCCCTGGTCCATCCAACCCCTGCCTCGGTGCTGCACAGTAAGCTGTTGTTCTGTGCAGCAGAAAATGGCGGTTTAACGACCTTCCCCACCAGTGGCCTGAATTTCATCTCAGACGACACACTCCGGGGAAGGAGGGACCACCACGCCAAGCCACCCCGAGCGCCCCACACCCTAAGCCACAGCTCTCCTGGGGGCCGCCACTGCGCGCATCCTCTTGACACTGGACTCCCAGGCCGGAACTCCAGGGCTCGTGGCCACTCAGCCTTCCTGTGCTTGAGGGGAAGGTGACCATAAGCCAGTGGACATTTCATGTGTGAAGTGGATGTCACGACGACGGATCGAGACACATTTGCAGCACCGCCACCGTTTCGGGGGTGGGGGTGGGGCGCAGTAGGCCCCCCGAAGCAAGCCGGGGCCGCATCTGCACCCCGCGCCCTTTGTGTTCCCAGTGACGGGGTCGCAAGGAGCGAGCTGCGCGCACTCGGTGCGTGTTTTTCTAGCAGGGCCGTGAAACATTTGCTACTTGTGGTGTTTCTGGAACCAGTGAAGCAGGCGTCTAACATGTGCGTTGCATTACCTCTGCCTGGAGCTCGGCTCCTAACACACTCTAGCCGGGTGTGTGCAGTGGGACAAGTTCCACAGAAAAGCGGCAGCTTAGGCTGGTGGGTGACGAAGGGGCAAAGCCCCAGAGTTCTACCTCATGTTACTGTATCTCTAAATGAGGACTGCCCCACAAGATGCCTGTGTGTGTGTGTGTGTGTGTGTGTGTGTGTGTGTGTGTGATATGTGTGTATGAGTGATTGTGTGTATGTGTGTGCATGTGTGTGTATGTATGTGTATGTGTGATTGTGTGTATGTGTGTGCATGTGTGTATATGTGTGTGCACGTGTGTGTATGTGTATGTATGTATGTGTATGTGTGTGCATGTGTGTGTATGTGTGATTGTGTGTATATGTGTGTGCATGTGTGTGCATGTGTATGTATGTATGTGTATGTGTGTGCATGTGTGTGTATGTATGTGTATGTATGTGCATGTATGTGTGTATGTGTGTGCGCACGTGTGCGTATGTGCATGCGTGTGCGTGTGCATGTATGTGTGTATGCGTGTGCGTGTGCGCGTGTGTAGGCGTGTGCATGTATGTGTGTGTATGTGTGTGCATGTATGTGTGTATGTGCATGTGTGCGTGTGCGTTGCACATGTGCGTGTGTGTGCATGTGTGTCTGTGTGCATGTATGTGTGTATATGTGTGTGTGCGTGCGTGTGCATGTGTGTGTGTGTGTTTCCTTGCCATCTGGTAGCCCTTGTCCCATATGTACCATCTTCCATGATGCTTGCCGGTAAGAACTGTGAGGAGGCTTCTCTCTGGCTTCTGCTGGTTTAGCTGTAACTTCAACATTCGAGTGTCTGTGCTTATGTCCTCTGACTTATCTGAGGTCACTCTAGCAGGTGGATGGAGAGGACTAAGATTGTTTCTGCCTTAGGGCCAAATCACTCATGGAGCCCCAGGTAGGCTCCAAGGGAAGCTGTGTTTTCAGTATAATGCTGGGGGCAAACTGCTAACCTCCAGTCTTTCTAGTAGTGAACATTAGGTACTCAGTGGCTATTGGAAAATTCAGAGCCAAATCCACAGCCGAGTCTCAGTGAGCTCCAGGTCGGATGGCTTTGTGAGACTTGGTCCGTTTTGTTGTGGAACCAACAGTGTCTGTACATTGGGTGTATTCTCAGGAGCCTCCAAGCCTTTGGGGAATGTGTTAACACAAGAAGTTGTGCCAGGTACTGCTTGCTCCATTGACAAGCTTTGTTCTGCACATCTTCAGGTCTAGGTCTGGAGATATCCCCGAGATACCAGTGCATGGCCCCTGACTAACACACCCCTCAAATGATGAAGTCTTCAAAGCGTCTGCAAGTCCTAGAATTTCAGATAAGGAGAATCTCTGCTAGCTTTAGCTGTCTGGGACTTTGATTCTGAGACTGATGAGCTGTGTCGTCTCTGGAAGGTACCGGTGTCCTGTGCAAATCTAAGAGACAGTACCGGTGTCCCTGTGCAAATCTAAGAGACGGTACTGGTGTCCTGTGCAAATCTAAAAGACGGTACCGGTGTCCTGTGCAAATCTAAGAGAGGGTACCGGTGTCCTGTGCAATCCTAACAGGTGGCACAAGAGGCTGCCACACTTACTGTAGGGAATATTCTCTGTGAGAGAGTGCTCTTGCCCTCTCCTTCCCCCAGAATATTAATTTTAATTTCTCTAACAAGCTGCCAGCATTTTAAGAGATAAACAGGGATGGGAGAAAGCTCGCTTAGCATGGTGAAGCCCTGGGTTCAGTCTCTAGAGAGAGAGGGATGAGGACAGAGAGAGAAAGGACAGAAAAATAATTTTTAGAGGAAAAGTAGCTCACTAAAGCACAAATCTTTCTGAAGGTGATTAAAATATTATGATTTCCTGACCAGCTATGATGGCACACGCCTTTAATCCCAGCACTTGGGAGGCAGAGGCAGGCAGATTTCTATGAGTTCAAGGCCAGCCTGATCTACTTAGTGAGTTCCAGGACAGCCAGAGCTATATAATAAGCTGTCTCAAACTTAATTAATAAAAATAAAAACAAAATAATAATAATAGTAATAATAATAATTACATATCATAGCTCCCCTTATCATGACAACATATAGCCTATTTTTAACCACACACGGGAACTAGAAAGAGTCGAAATTTGTCTCAGTCCAAGATTTTCCCAGTTAAAGATTGGAGGGCTGTGGCAGCGAGCCATCCTTGGCCCACCGCCATCCTGCAAGGGTCTAAGCCCTGCTCTTCCCTGGAGCTCTGTGACCATAGGCCACCACCTCTCTGCTCTCTCACCTTTGACCCTGGAGCTCTTGGGTTGTCTCAGCGTCTCTTCTGGTCTGCTGCATCTTTTGGGAACTAATCCTTCCGAGTTTGCCTGCGCCCTCCGTTATTATGGGAATATAAAGTTTCCACCAGGGGGCGCATGATTCCCTGCCAGTGGTGGCCCTTGGTGGGCCACCCTGGGGACAGAGGAGGCTGAGTGGAGAACGGTACCATTCCCACTGCCAACCTGTTCTGTGCTTTCCTC